CACACTAAACAAAAATGGCAATAAATAAGTACATATCAATAATCACCTTAAATGTAAATGGACGGACTGCTCTTATAAAAAGACACAGATTAGCTGACTGGATAAGAAAGCATGACTCACATATATGTTTGTTTATAAGAGACCCACCTCACAACAAAAGACTCACAAAGGTTGAAAGTGAAGGGATTGAAAAAAATCTTCCAAGCAAATGGAAAGCAAAAAAAAGCTGGGGTAGCAATGCTCATATCTGATAAAAATAGATTTCAAAATGAAGGCCATAACTAGAGACAAAGAAGGCCACTACATAATATTGAAAGGATCTATCCAACAGGAAGATATAACATTGATAAACATATATGCACCCAATATAGGAGCACTGAAATATATTAAAAATCTTCTGGAGGACTTGAAAGGAGAAATCGACAGCAATACAATCATAGCAGGGGACTTCAACATTCCACTGACACCACTGGATAGATCCTCTAAACAAAAAATTAGCAAGGAAACAGAGACTCTAAATGATGCACTAGAACAAATGGATTTAATAGATATCTACAGAGAATTACACCCCAATACTACAGAATTCACATTCTTCTCAAGTGCACATGAGACATTCTCAAACATAGGCCACATGATAGGACACAAACTAAATCTCTACAGGTTCAAGAAGATTGAAATCATATCAAGCATCTTCTCAGATCACAATGGCATGAAACTAGAAATCAATTGCAACTAAAACATGCAAAGACATTTGAACACATGGAGGCAAATAGCATGTTATTAAACAATAAATGGGTTACCATGGAGATCAAGGAAGAAATTAAAAACTTCCTGCCCTGGCCGGTTTGGCTCAGCGGTTAGAGCGTCCGCCTGCGGTCCGGAGAGGCCCGGGTTCGGTTCCCGCTAAGGGCATGTACCTCGGTTGCAGTTTGTCCCCAGCCCTGGTTGGTCGTGCGGGTGGCAGCCACTCGATGTGTCCCTTTCACATCGATGTTTCCCTCTCTCTCTCTTCCTCTCTCTCCCTCCCACTCTGTCTGTACAAAAAATGGAAAAATGTCCTCGGATGAGGATAAAAAAAAAAAAAAGAAAAAAAGAAATTAAAAACTTCCTGGATACCAATGAAAATGAACACACAACAACACAAAATCTATGGGATGCAGCGAAAGCCGTTCTGAGAGGGAAGTTAATACCACTACAGGCCTACCTCAAGAAACGAGAAAAATTTCTAATAGACTATCTAACCTCACAACTTAAAGAATGAGAAAGCAAACAAAAAAGAAAAACTTAGAGCTAGTAGAATGAAGGTAATAGTAAAGATCAGAGCAGAAATAAATGACATAGAGACCAAAAAACAATTCAAAGGATCTATGAAACAAAGAGCTGGTTCTTTGATAAGATAAACAAGATTGATGGACCCTTAGCTAGACTCACCGAGAAACAAAGAGAGAGAACCCAAATACACAAAATCAGAAATGAAAGAGAAGTAACAACTGACACCACAGAAATACAAAAGATCGTTAACTACTATGAACAATTAATGGCAACAACTTCGACAATCTAAGTGAAATGGACAAATTTCTAGAAACACATAGTCTCCCAAAACTGGACCAGGAAGAAATAGAAAACATGAACAGACCAATAGCAACTAAGGAAATTGAAGAGGTAATCAAGACTCTCCCAGCAAACAAAAGCCCAGGCCCGGATGGCTTCACGGAGGAGTTTTACTAAACTTTCAAAGAAGAACTAACACCCATTCTCCTCAAACTATTTTAAAAAATTCAAGAAGAAGGAAGACTTCCAAACTCGTTTTATGAGGCCAACAAAAATCTAATTCCAAAACCAGAAAAAGACACTACAAAGGAAGAAAACCACAGGCCAATATCCCTGATGACCATAGATGCCAAAATCCTGAACAAAATACTAGCAAATCAAATCAAGAAAAACATCAAAAAAATTATTCACCATGACCAAGTGGGATTCATGCCAGGGATGCAAGGCTGGTACAGTATTTGCAAATCAATAAATGTGTTACACCACATAAATAAAATGAAGAATAAAAACCACATGATCATATCAATAGATGCTGAAAAAGCATTTTACAAAATCCCAGCATCCATTTATGATAAAAACACTCAGCAATCTGGGAATCGAGGGATCATATCTCGACATAATGAATGACGTACAGCCATCATCATACTCAACGGGCAGAAACCAAAAGCATTTCCCTTAAGAACAGGAACAAGACAAGGATGCCCACTTTTGCCATTCTTATTTAACATAGTACTGGAAGTTTTAGCCACAGCAATCACACGTGAGGAAAAAAATGAAAGGGATCCAAATTGGAATGGAGGAAGTGAAACTGTCATTATTTGCAGATGACATGATATTATACATAGAAAACCCTAAAGACTCCATCAAAATCTACTAGACTTAATAAATGAATTTGGCAAAGTAGCAGGATACAAAATTAATGTCAAGTAATCAACAGCATTCTTATACACCAATGATAAACTCACAGAAAGAGAAACTGAAAAAAAAATCCCATTTGCCATCGTGGCAAAAAAAATTAAGATACCTAGGAATAAACTTAACCAAAGAAACGAAGGACCTATTCGCATAAAACTACAGGACATTGAAAAAAAGTAATAGCGGAAGATATAAAAAAGTGGAAGCACATAACTTGTTCATGGATTGGAAGATCAACATCATTAAAATGTTCATATTACCCAAAGCAATCTACAGATTCAATGCAATCCCCAACAAAATACCAACGACATATTTCACAGAACTAGAACAAATACTATAAAAGTTCATATAGAACCAAAAAAGACCCCGAATAGCCACAGCAATCTTGAAAAAGAAGAACAAAGTAGATGGGATCACAATACCAGATATCAGGTTATACTACAAAGCTACTGTAATCAAAACAGCTTGGTAGTGGCATAAGAACAGGCATATAGACCAGTGGAACAGAACAGAGAACCCATAAATGTACCCAAGACATTATGCTCAGTTACTATTTGACAAAGGAGGCAAGAGCTTACAGTGGAGAAAAGACAGCCTCTTTAATAAATGGTGCTGGAAAAATTGGACAGCTACATGCAAAAAAATGAAACTAGACCATCAACTTACACCATACACAAGAATAAACTCAAAATGGATAAAAGACTTAAATGTGACTCGTGAATCCATACAAATTCTAGAAGAAAATGTAGGCTACCAAATTTCGGACATCATACGCAGCAGAATTTTCATTGATACATCACCTACGGCAACAGAAACAAAGGAGAAAATGAACACATGGGACTACATCAAACTAAAAAGCTTCTGCATATCAAAAGAAACAACCATCAAAATGGAAAGGCAACCCACTGTATGGGAGAACATCATTGCCAATGATACATCAGATAAGAGGTTAATTTCCAAAATATATAGAGTACTCATACAACTCAACAAAAGGAAGACAAAGAATCCAATTAAAAAGTGGGCAGAGAAACTAAATAGACACCTCTCCAATCAGGACATACAAATGGCCAAGAGACATATGAAGAAATGCTCATCATCACTAATCATCCGAGAGATGCAAATTAAAACAACAATGAGGTATCACCTCACACGTGTTAGAATGGCCACCATCAACAAGTCATCAAACAAGTGTTGGCGAGGGTGTGCAGAAAAGGGGACTCTAGTACATTGCTGGTGGGAATGCAGACTGGTGCAACCACTATGGAAAACAATATGGTGTTACCTCAAAAAACTATAAATTGAACTGCCAGTTGACCCAATGATCCCACTTCTAGGAATATACCCTAAGAAACCTGAAACACCAATCAGAAAGAATATATGTACCCCCATGTTCATAGCAACACTATTTACAATAGCTAAGATCTGGAAACAGTGTCCATCAGTAGACGAATGGATAAAAAAGCAGTGGTACATATACACAATGGAGTACTATGCCACTGTAAGAAAGAAAGATCTCTTATCCTTTGAGACGACTTGGAGGGACCTGGAAAGTACTATCCTAAGTGAAACAAGCCAAGCAGAAAAAGACAAATACCACATGATCTCACTTATATATGGAATATAATGAACACAACAGTCTGAGGAATAGGGTAGACCCAGAGACGTGGAAGTAGGTACAGACTGACAACCCTCAGAACAGGAGGTCCTGGGGGGAGAGAAGAGATAAACCACAGAACTTATATGCATGTACGCATAACCAATGGACATGGACAACAAAGCAGGGGACAGAATGGGGCAGATGGGGAGGTGGGTGTCTATGGGGTAAAAAAGGAGAAACATCTGTAACAAAAATAAAATAATAAAAATAAAAGGCTAACTATAAAAATAATTGGAAGTTTATGGGTAATCTTCCCCCAGAGATTTTTGTTTGCTTCTGCCATGTGCCTCTGGGTAGCAGCAAACCAGAGTAGACGCAATGCAACTCCAGGGACTGGAATTTTGGGTACAGTTCAAGGACTTACATCAGGGCTGCATTCTGAGCTTTCACTTACTCATAGAATGTAGCTCTTAATGTAGCCCCACAGAAGCAGGCCCCGCCCCCAGGAGCCTCAGGATCATCTGGACCACGTCCATATTATGATGTGGCCATAGGTGTCTCCACGGGGCTGAACGAAAGCATGGGAGTGATACTGGGGCCACCGTCCTGGCAGGCCAAACTCGGCTTGCCTGGCTTTGAACATCAAAATCCCTGCTTCATATTTTATTTATCTCTTTTGGATTGGGAAAAGCCTCTTCAACAGTTTGTAGTTCATGGGCTTGTTCCATCATAGATAAAAGGAAGGATTTGAGCAGAGTTGCTTGGACCCTGAAATTCAGTTTCTACTTAGCATAATTTACTCTAAATCCCTGATGAGATTTTAGGATATGGAGCCCAAGTAGAAGAATCACAGAATGCAGTGATATTGCTTTTCTTATTTTTCTACAGCTAAGAGAACCTAGAATATGTTATGTGATAGTATTTTAAGAATAGGAAGGAAAGCTTGCCAACAGAAGACTTGTTAAAATATTCTTTTTATTCCATGGAGTCACCCACTACCATCATGGATGTCAGTACTGTCAGTCCATGAGCCCTAGTATAGTCCTATTTTTTGAGATCGGGTAGAAACAAGAAGAGTACTAAGATTAGTCTGGCTAGCAGAACCTTAGGAAACTTTATTAGTCATCCCATCAGCTTTGTGGAAATAAGAAAATGTAGCATTTCAGGACAGATTCCAAGGAGTATATTGGTATATATATACGAAGGTTTATATATAAACAAAGGTTTATATTAATTAAAGAGCTCCCTCCCCCACATCCAGCACTGCAGAAGCCATCCCATTGCTATAACATGTATCTGATGATGGAAGACAAGAGACTTTTTCAGAAAACACAGAAGCAGCTGGTTAACAGTGAGATCTCTGCCCCTCATTTCTGCTTAACAGTCTCTCCTACATTTTCCTTTTTCCAGTTTCTTGGCATCTTTTATGATAAGACACCAACTTCTCGACTCCTTGCAATCACACACAAACTACATATCAGGTGGGTTAAAGGAAAATAAAAAAGGAAAATTATTACCAAGTAGCTCTATAATAGCTTTAAAAAAAAAAAAAAGCTCTAATGGAATACAAATCCTGTCGAACAAAGGGTCAGAAACACTGGCCAAGGCAAATCTGTCTTCATAATCTTACCGTTAACAGTCTGCTCTCCTATATTTCAATTGAGTAAGTTTTTAAGCCTCTCTTCAACAATCAGAGTGTCTCTCTAGTATTTCTTCCAGAAGTATCTCTGAAACTGATTGTAACATTTTACTTCTGCAAGGCTACCAGGGAGTATGGCAGTTCCACAGATTACCATATCGAAGAATCTCCACATCTGAGTGATGCATTAAAAAGCAATCACAGAAAATTTTCAATATAAAAAAGGAAAATTGATACCCCTGCCAAAGTTCATGGGTATAGACAGCCAACAGAGCTGGCCTGAGAGCAAATAAAAAATTTGTTTTGAGATGGAGTTTTATTGCTAAAGCTATATAAAAACTATCACCATTGAAAGTGGGGGTAGTGAAGCCCTGAGCTTGGTCTTGTATTTCCACAGACTCTAAGGGGAAGCAAGTCTGCCTAAGAAGAGGATGTTAGTTGAGGGGTTGTGTCGAATGAAGAAAATGAACGGATGGTCAACCACAAAATGTTCCTCTGGCATAGACATGGAGCAACCAATTACAATGAGTGCAGTGGCAGCCGCCGCCTCTGTTCCCTCCTCATTCACTTCTACAAAAGACTTGTGGACAATTTGTGATACAAAAAGATCTCTGGCTCCTGACATGCCAGACAGATCAGCCTTGCTATTAAAGAGATCCTCTACACCCAGGCGGGCCAGGGGAGAGTTGAGGTTGTAGCTGTCTTCCAGCTTGAACCTGGGCAGGTGGACATTGACTTCAGTGAGATGCAGCCTCTCGGGTTTGGTCCACTCATGCAGTTTTTCCAAAGTCAGCTGTTCCTCGATCTGGAATGAGCATGGGGAAAAGTAGAGGTGAGAAAATTTCATATAAGCAAGGTAATAAGGCATTTTTTAAATGAATGGACTCATTATATCAGTTGCTAATTCGTTTCCTTCATGTTTTGTGCCAAAACAGATTCCATTTCCTTACAGCAATTGGTAATAAGATACCAGAGCTGTATTCCAAGTCATCAAAAGTCCAAGTAACAGGGACTTTGGACATTGAATCCATCAAACATCTATCCACCCACCAGCCCACCCATCCAGGCCGTCCGAAACCCTGCCACACTGGAGTACTGGAACAGCCACAGCAGATGTTATTACTTAATTTGTTTTTTATTTTTTTAGTACATGCTCCTAGTGGGAACCAAACCCAGGACTCTCCGGTCCGCAGGTTGATGCTCCAACCGCTGAGCCCAACCGGCCAGGGCTAGATGTTATTACTTTAACTGGTTGATTGGTGAAAGGAAAATTTAAAAGTTTTCTTCCATTTATTCCACTCTATTTATTCTGGACTCTTCTAATCACTGTGATTAGTGCTGAAGAAATTTAATAGATTTGCTCCTAGGTATAAATAGAAAAGGGCTAAGTTCCTGATCTAAAATTACAGGTGGGGGCAGTGTAATTATAGTGCCTACTTTATAGCATTGTTGTGAGCATTAAATAAGTTAATGTATACGAAGCACTTGGCACATACTTAGTGCCACAAAAATGTCAGCTATTATCATTACTATTGTTACTACTACTATGGACCAGAATGGAACCATCATTCCACTTGTCCTACTGATACTGATTATCCCTTTAATGGGGCTAGAATTTCTTTTTATAATCAAAGAAGAGACATATTCAGAAATGAGAAACACACTGCCCTGGCCGGTTTGGCTCAGCGGTTAGAGTGTCGGCCTGCGGTCCGGAGAGACCCAGGTTCGGTTCCCGCTAAGGGCACGTACCTTGGTTGCAGTTTGTCCCCAGCCCTGGTTGGGTCGTGTGGGTGGCAACCACTCGATGTTGTCACTTTCACGTCGATGTTTCTCTCTCTCTCTCTCCCTCTCACTCTATCTGAACAAAATATCGAAAAATGTCCTCGGATGAGGATAAAAAAAAAAAAGAATGTCGGCCCACGGAACAGAATCACGGGTTTGATTTTGGCCGAGGGTGTGTACCTGTGTTGCAGTTCACCCCCAGCCCTGGTCAGGCCGAAACAGAATCACGGGTTTGATTTTGGCCGAGGGTGTGTACCTGTGTTGCAGTTCACCCCCAGCCCTGGTCAGGGTCTCCCGGGAGGTAACCAGTTGATGTGTCCCTCTCGCATCGATGTTTCTGTTTCTGTTTCTCTCTCTCTCTCTCCTCTCACTCTCTATCTGAAGATATTTGGAAAAATATCCTCGGGTGAGGATTAAAAAAAAAAAAAAGAAACACACTGATATTAATACATGCTTTATACATGCAAATGGCCAATATTAGACCCCTTCCGGCTAACAAGTGTGGTTAGGGAGAACACAGAGAAAAACCACAGAGCAGCCTAGACACACTAAAGGAAAACAATAATCTTCACAGTTTTTCCTAGTCCTAGCCTAGCAGGAAATGTCATCACCTTTAAATTAAATGAAATAGAAATGACATACAAAGTTTATATTACAAAATAGGCTTAGCTTTCAAGCTCATGAGTCATATGAGTCTTTTCTACCATGTATCTCTTAGAAATGTAACCCATAATCTATATGAATTACGATGAGAATGACCAGTGTAACAACAGGATTTCATACAAGATGAAACTATATACTATGAATATTTTGGGTTGCTTTTGTTTTTGTTAATTTTAGAGAGAGAGGAAGAGAAACAGAGAGATAGAAACATGAATGAGAGAGAACATCGATGGGCTGCCTCCTGCATGCCCCACACTGAGGATTTGGCCCACAATCTGGGCATCTACTCTGACCCGGAATCGATCCAGTGACTTCTTGGTACTTGGGTCAATGCTCAATCACTGAGCACCACCAGCCGGACTAAAGTTGTGGGTTTTTTAATTTTAAAAATTTCTTTTGACAAAACACTTCTAACTTTACTGCACTTTTCTCTAAAGTTCCCTTAAGTGAGTTTCCATGAGCTGCCACTGACCCATGTTCAATAATATAGATCGTTAGATGTCCCCACCACAGCTGTGCACCAACAGGAGCTGAAAACCTAAACGTAGGGCTTCAGAGTAGCAAACATTGATGGAAGAAATCTCAAAGGGATGACACAGTTTGGGAAGGAAAGTCCAGTAACATCATGACAAGGACCTACCACAGGACATACACACAGGCAGCATCGCTGTGTCAGAAGGAACACGAGGCCTGAGCCCAGGAGCCCTCACCTGCTTCAGACCCGTGGCCTCGTCCTCGATGTCATCTGGCAGCAGGATGACCATGCTGAGCTCCCCGCCTTGGTAAGGCAGTTCCAGCACACGGCACTTAAGCTCCCTGATGCGGCCATATGGAAATTCCTTCTTCTGATACATCATTTTCACTGTTTTTGTGTCTTTCTGGACAGTTGAGAAGACAAGTCACTCTCATTATTATCTGCATTCTTTTTTATTTTTATTTTTTATCCTCATCCAAGGACATTTTTCCATTTTTTGTTCAGATAGAATGGAAGGGAGAGAAAGTAAGAGAGGGAAAGAGAAACATCGATGTGAAAGGGCCACATCGAGTGGCTGCCACCCACACAACCAACCAGGGCCGGGGACAAACTGCAACCGAGGTACGCACCCTTAGCGAGAACCGAACCCGGGTCTCTCTGGACCGCAGGCCGACACTCTAACCACTGAGTCAAACTGGCCAGGGTTTATCTGCATTCTTTAGAGCAAAGAGTAATTTTATAATTGCATCCCTCACCTTATTCAATCTGAAGGGCGCATCGGTCGTGGCCTTTTCACTGAATTTCTCCTGCCAACTTCCTTTGAAATAGATGGCATTAACCAGCACCAGTTTAGTCATGTTATCAACCATGCCTGTAGCCAGCAATTCAGGAATTTTCCCTGAAAGATAAAGCAAGCTCAAAAAAACAACTCACATATCAATGGGATGCAAATACATACTTTTTACTTAATTTCCTTGAACATGTTAAGTTAGGAAAGCCCCTCCAGGATGTTTGGACTTTAAATAAACCACAAAGGGTCTAAGGGCTAAAACAGGAAACTTCTTTGCAGTGTGTGAGAAACAACAAGCCTACTTCAGTGAATGGCCATTCTTTTCAGGCACAGAAGTATTCCTTAGTGAAAAGGATTCCGGGCACTAGTAAATACATCACTTGTGCGAATCCTCCAGGTGGAAGCTACTCTCACAGAAGGTGTTAACACACACGCAGCGGGTAGGACCGTGACTCCACTGCAACACGAGTCCCCCTGTGCCCACAGCGGGCATGAAGAGCCGGGCAGGGGAGGCGGGTCAGCTGGTCCTCGGCCCTTCCTTCAGTGGGGCAGAGAGAGCTGAGGGGACCGCGGGGCACGGCCAGTCCCCCCGCCGCCCTGAGCGCGTCCCACAGGGTGTGTGCCGGGTATTCCTGCCACGGCACTTTGTGCCACAAGTGTGACAATATTCTTTCCCGTGATTGGGGCCAGGCCAGGTTTTCCTCAAAGCTTTATCCTTGTGACTCCACATTCAATGTTAGGTTTAATCTTAAATTGTAGATTTGTGAACTTATGGGGAGAAAGTTCAGCTGCTTCAGCGAAACCGTGTGTAAGTTTCCACTTTGAGGAGTTTCCTCAGTGGACAGCTGTGTGGCGCTGGGCAGGGGCAGAGCTGACCCCAGGGCCAGGATGAGGCAGAGGAAAGGGTCGGGGGTCACCTGAAGGTGGGAAGGTGGAGGGAGGACAAGAAGGACCAGGTCAATGAGTGCGTGGGGCCCACTCTCTTACCTTCTGTCTGCCCTTTGACCCACTCGTTGATCACGCGTCTGGCACCTTCAGAGGCGCGCTGGAAGTCCACACTCGCCAGGTCAGCGCCGTACGCCGTCCGAGTTGCAGCTAAGAACTCCTGTTTGAAAAGCAAGGAACCAAATGTCACGGATAACTCCTACTACATGCAGAAATGGGTTTCCAAAATTCTTGGAAGCAATAGAAATTGTTCTAAAAGGCATAAATTTCATTGTAACAAAAATTTCTAACCCTTATACTTTTTTGCATTATAGTAAAAGACACATAACATTAAACTTACCATCTGAACCACTTTTAAAGGTATAGTTCAGTAGTTTGTTGGTGTATAAAAGGTACCTATTCTCACTAACATTTCACTAACATTTTCCTATATAAGTATATACTGATTGTTCTTGGAACTGAATTATGGAATTCACTCTTGCTTTGATCAAACAGCCAGGGTCAATCTTGCCCTGTGAAAACCATACAATGAAATCGTATCAATTAATGGGAATCCTCTCATGTTTTAAATATGCATCATTTTTCTGAATGTTTATTTTTTCAAAATCTGACTTCTCACTTGGTATGCTGAAAAGTGTCCACATGGTCCAGTGAGGTTAAGAACATGAACGTGAAGTACTTACAGGGAGGAAATTGTAGCTTTTTTCTCCGTATAACCTGTTAGCAAGTTTCAGAACGTAGGGAGCTCCACGCTTGTTGATGTCAGCATTCAGACTCTGAAATCCTGAATGAATCTCCTTAACCGCATCAAAATGAAGAGTCTAAAACAAAGAAAATATCCGTGCTGTAACCACTTACTTTGAACCGGTCGCCTTGGCATTTGCTTCTATCAAATTAAATTAATGTGTTCTTGGTATTAATGATTGATAATTCTCACCCTTTCAAGTAATTCCCAATACTTTATTACCTTTTCATTGGAAGGAAAAAAAAAGAGAATCCAAAATGTATAGCTTACTGAGACATAATAATTGTATTAGAAGAGGTTTGCATGTCACTTTTTGTTATATAGGTACACAAATATGAATGGTTAATTAATAAATATTTAGAGAAGTATGCTTTTTTAAAAAAAAAAAAAGAACCCTCACCTGTCTGGCCAGTGTGGCTCAGTGGTTGAGCGTTGACCCATGCACCAACAGGTCACCAGTTCGATTCCCAGTCGGGGCACAGGCCCAGGTTGTGGGCCAGATCCCTAGTGGGGGGCATGCAGGAGGCACCCAATCGATGTTCTCTCTCATCGATGGTTCTATCTCTCGCTTCCTCTAACTACTTCTCTTTTTCTAAAATCAATAAAGGAAAAAAATTTTTTTTAAGAATGTGGCCTACGTATTTTAAAAAAAGAACGCTCACCTCTGCAGGAACACAGAGATACTACAACATGAGCAGTTTAAACTCACACTATCAGCACCGGTAACTCATTTAAAAATAACATCTATAAATTTCACATTCGGTAAAAGTTTATTTTCCAAGTTACAAATCTAGCATCCCTTTATGGATTTATGAGGCCTGGGCTGGTTGCTTATTTCAGCACACAAAGAACACACCACACAATGCACAAAGTCCAGTCACTCACCGATCTGTGCCATGTTTGCACAGTTGCCATGATTCATCTACCATTTTTTATCCTCACCCCAGGACATTTTTGCATTTATCCTCAGACAGAGCAAGAGAGAGGAAGAGAGTGAGAGAAACATCAATGTGAGAGAGACACATCGAGTGGCTGCCACCCACACAACCCCAACTAGGGCCAGGGACAAACTGCAACCAAGGTACGTGTCCTTAGTGGGAACTGAACCCTGGCTTCTCTCGTCTGTGGGCTGACACTCTAACCGCTGAACCAACCCGGCCAGGGCTGATTCATCTACTCTAATGGAAATATGGGGGGAACCCTTAAAATTATTTTTTGCTGACGTAATATAGTCCCTGGAACAACCTCATAATAGAGGCTGATATTACCCTGGAAGGAGCAAACAATTAGTACCAGGGGTGAAAATAAAGGGTGGATTTTGGAAAACTTAAAAATGCTTTCATGTCGGTAGTGATCAATATGGTTGGTTTTTCAGAAATTACAGAAATAGAAGCTTTGCGGCTGGATCAGGTCGATAAGTGGAAACCAGGGCTGGGCCATCCCCAGTTACAGGCACCAGGTAATCTGACCGGTAGGTGAGAAGACCTTCACTTTTGGGACTTCTTTCCCCTGCTTCCAAGGAAAGCCCAGTTCCCCTCTCAGAATTAAACAAAGAACACAGCACAGAAGTGCCCTCCATGCCCATTAGGGCCAGGTGGAAGGCTGGGCATAGCTTCTGCTCCTGCTGTAAGAGTGACCTGCCACACCAACCGAGGCTTGGTTCTGTCCCTGCAGATGCCACACCTCACCTGTCTCCTCTCCGTGCAGGGCCCTGCTGCCCACACAGGCACTTGGTGCCAGCCCAGGGCTCGGCCTCAGGGTACAAATCACAGGGTCACCTGTTCCCTCAAGAAGGTGACACCACCACCTTCTCCAGTGTGGTGCCTTCCCTACATGCCCTTTTGTGCGTAAAATATAGACGGGCATTATTTATGAGTGGCGGGTCACATGCAAAGCAGAAACTGAACTGTCTTCATCCAGGAGGAGATGCTGTCAAAGGTTTGCCCACTGGAATAGAAACAGCACACGACAGGGGTTTGGGCAGCTTTCTTCACAAACTAAAAACTGTGCCTGGCACACAGCATATGCTCAATAAAAACTCAGTCATGAATGAAAGCCTCCATAAAAAGGAATTGTTCATGAGGCTTTTCTGAAAGTCTGGCCTCATAACATATGGCTGTGGGACACAGAATACGGTTTTTTAAATATCCTGTGAAAGCTCAAAGCACAACACTTTAGTGCAGACTCGCCGGGAACCAGACTACTTTGTTTGTTTCTGCTGACCTTGGACATCTGTGCGGCAGTAGTGCCTCTGGCCCCCAGAAAGACCATGGCCAGCGCGGATGAAATGCTGATGGGAGAGATGAAGATGTTTCCAGCAGGGTTCTTCTCATTCAGGGTGCGGAAGAGGTCCAGTGCAAACCGGGTGTTTGCCACACTTAGCTGCTCCATGGTGAGGGCTGCAACACAGAACAGAGGCCCATGCACCCCAGGAAATTAGGCAATGAAATTTCTCCATGTCTTCCTCACCCTGAAACACCCTGGAACTTGTAAGTTTCTTTCGAGAGGGCAAGAACACTGTCATGAGCACAAAGGTGGGAACTAGATGAACACGCCAAGGAGCCATCAGAGACCCAGGTGCAGGACCCAGGTATACTAAAGGGCCCCGACCTGGCAGACATAGCAGCCAGGACTGGCCCTTTCCTACCAAGTTTGGGAGCACACCCACTTCCCACCCTTTACCTGAAACAAGAATGTTTGTATTAGAAAATCATAGCCACCACTATCCATTAAAGGAAATTCCAGTAAAGTAACATAATTATCTTCATTCTCAGGATTCAGTTGCTAAATTTTAGAGAGGCTAAGGATCCCAAGTGTCATATCTGGTGGAGGATAAGAGAGTATGAGAATTCAGCACAGGTCCCAGGGTCAGATGGTGCAGCCCACCTGGGGAAGGTGACAAGCATCCTCTGTGACACGCCCTGGGGGTGAGGGTGACCAGGCCTCCACCTCAGCTCAGCAGCCCCCTTAGGAACCCTGACTCCTCTCAGAGCCTTCGTTTCCCACATACTGGCCAGGAAGAACTACTTGTGCTGTTTGCTTCCCGTGTTATACATTGAATTATTACTGTTGTCCTCGGAAAGGAATCTCTAGGGTCCCTCCCTCCCTCCCTCCCTCTGCAGCAATGAGAAGTGATTCTTCTGGGGCTTCCTAGAATCTGTCACAAACAGCTGTGGGCGGAAGGGAGTTTCCGAAGGAAGGAAAATATTCCCATCTCAGGCTTCAGCTCTGGTTTCAGCCACAAAGCTCTCACTTCCCTCCCTGGCAGGCCTGTCTGAACTGGGGCTCAGGGAGTGTGTGTGTCGGGGGGGGGGGGGGGGGGATCAAGGGTCGCCTCAGGGGCATGAGGCTGGGGCCCGTGAGGCTCAGGTGGGTAGCACAAGGAGCCCTCCCAGGGAACCAGCAGCTGCTGAGGTGACCCCCGGCAATGGAAGGCCAAAGAGTTTCAGGGCGCAAGCCGGTCACAGATCCAGCCCCTGGGCCGCCCTCCCCTGCTGGCCCGCTCAGTCCCACTTTCCTAACGGGCCCCATGCCCGGCCTTACCTGCTGCTTGCTGCCTGGGCGGGAGCCTGAGTCTGGCACAGAGGGCAGAGCAAGCAGTGTCCTCAGGTAGTGGCGGAAGAGGAAGGCAGATGCCTTGTCATTGGGAGGGGCTGTGCAATGGTGGATGGGTGGGAAACGGGGCGGGCACACAATGGACCCTCCCCCTATGTAACTTCCTTGGCTCTGGGTATTGTCATGTAGAAGTCAGATGAGGGTGGACTCCCTGCTTTGGCCCTCAGGAGATTTGCAGCATTTTGAATCTAGGCAACCTGACATCTCAGGCAAAAACCTGATGGCCTCGTTCTTGCCTAAGTGTGAATGACATGAGGTGACATAATGTGTCACCTGTTATGGGGCAAACTAGCCCCTTCTGAATCTCATCTATATACTCCAAATTCTGGTTTTTCTTTGTTTCTGTGATGGGGTAGGGGGTGTGGGGACCTGGAGGATAAGAAAACAGAATCAGTCTGTCAGCTGATGATCACCGGCATCAATACAACACCGAAAGGAATCCCTATTTCCGGTGTGGGGAAGCAGGAGATTTTGTTCAGTCAAACAATTCAGTTGTGATACAGCACAGGGTGAGAACAGCCCTGCTGTCAACAGCTCAGTAGTGTTACAGCTCACATATAAATCAGCTGTGCAAGGTGGTCCGCTCTGGCAGCCAGCGGGCTCTGCTCCGTTCTGCTCCAGTCCAGTGTCTTCTGTTTCTTCAGGAAACACAGGCTTGGGGCAAAGGGAAAGTGGCTCCCAGAGCCAGAAAGAACCTGCCTTATGTAGTGAGGAGTCACTACTGCTTATCTCTAATTGATCCATCCTCAGGCAGAGGAAGATCTACAACCTTACAGCTTGACTGCTCCAAAAATCACTGTGCGATTGGTCAGAATGGAGCGGCTCTGATTGGTTAGTGAAAATGCTGATGAGGCTATAGGTGCACACTCCAATTGCATGGGGACAGCCTCAGTCCCACTGGTTGAAATGGGATTCCAGGAACTCCTCTGCAGGGGCTGGCTCAGCTGCAGGAACAAGGTGCAGGCAGGCAGTCCAGTGTGGGAGGCCAGTAGTGAGGCCCTTGTGTAAAAATGACTGCTAGGCCCTAGGTATTTTGTTCTTGTTCTCAGTTTTAAATTTGAGCCCAGTCAGCCATTGGAAGCCCATTCTAGCAGGTCTTCTTTCTGAGGGTCCACACTTGGGAGCCAACAAAGTGGGAAAGGCTGTAGAATTGGAGGCCTGCCTTTGGGGACATTCTCTCAGATGTTACCCCTTTTGGGGTGCTGGCCTACATCAACTGTCCTGAGGCTGCCTTGTCATTCCCCTAATGATCTGTTTTTGTAGAATTGAAATTATTTTTACTTTTTCTTTTTTAAGATATTGATTTTAGAGAGAGAGGGAAAGAGAAACATCGATGAGAGAGAACATTGATTGGCTACCTCTTGCATGGTCCCCACTGGGGATTTGGCCCACAACCTGAGCATGTGCCCTGACTGGGAATCAAACCAGTGACCTCTTAGTCCATGGGTCCACACTCAACCACTGAGCCACTGTGGCCGGGCAGTAGTGAAGTTCTTTTATTTATTTATTTATATCCTCACCCGAGGACATTTTTCCATTTTTTTATTCAGATAGAGTAGGAGGAAGAGAGAGAGAGAAAAAAATCGACATGAAAGGGACACATCAAGTGGTTGCCACCTGCATGACCCAACCAGGTCTGGGGACAGACTGCAACCAAGGTTCGTGCCTTCAGTGGGAAGCGAACCCGGGTCTCTCTGGACTACAGGCCCACGCTCTAACCGCTGAGCCAAACCGGCCAGGGCACTAGTGAAGTTCTTAAATTTCATTCACTTGGTTCAATTTCCATGAAAAAAGTCCCAATGCCTAGGAATAAATCTAACAAAAAAATGTGTGTGTGAGTGTGTGTTTGTGTGGTAACTGTTAAGAAATCACTCCCTTCTCAAGTACTTGAAAATATATTCTTATATTATCTTCTAAAACCTTTATTGTTTTGCTTTCATAATACACCTTGTTTAAGTTTAATGCAAAAATCAACTTTAATATTTTTCCATGTGGGTTCCCAAATGTTCCAGAACAAGTTATTGAATGTTTCCTCCCTTCACTTCCAACTTTGAAGTACCACATTTCTCAGAAACATGATGGCCGTATGATTGATTACTCAATTGATTAAATTATGAGAGTAGAAGAAGGCACTGCTGATAATTGCAATAGAACAAGAGACATAAACAGGCTGTTTTGAGCAAACTGGGGTAATGATCGCGCATCACAAAGCAGCGTTCATATTCCTGGGCTCTCTGTTTTGTTCCATTTCTAACCGTCTTTGTACCAGAACCCACTTTATCTTATTTCTGCAGCTTTAGCATAAATTATTATTCTATTAAGCATGTCCTTTCATCTGGTTCTTTAAGATTGTTTTGGATATTTTTGGCCTTTTACCTTATCATATAAGTATTAGAACCATTTGCCATGTTTCACCAAAATCAAAACAAAACACCTGTTTTTAAAAAAACTAAAATTTCATTAATTATGTATGATAATTGACATATTTACAATAATTAATCATGACCATGCTATAGCTCTCCATTTATTTAAAGTTTTGTTAATTTCTCTCTCTATAGAAGTTTTTAGGATCTTTCATTAGATTTATTACTAGGTATTTAAACATTTTTGGCATCATTATAAATGCCTTTTAAAACAGTTTTAAAAATTTTATATCATATACAAAATACAAATTAGCTACATAAATTGCACATGTAACCAGCAATGCCTTATTTAGTTCATTGTTAATTTCTAATTATTTAGACCTTAGTAGAAAATATTCATCTGCCATATTATAAGGTTTGTGCTTATTTTCAAATTCTTACATATTTTATTTTTTTAAATTAATCTTTATTGTTGAAAGGATTGCAGATGTCACTTTTTTCCCAACTGGCATCATCCCCACTGCTTCCACCACCTTCCTTTTTCATTTTGACGCTAATTTCTTCTCCTGTGCAGAAGCTTTTTAGTTAGATGTAGTCCCATTTATTACTTTTTTCCTTTTTTTCTCTTGACCTATGCACTGTATCAGTGAAAATTCTGCTATGTCTAATACCTGAGATTTTGCTGCCTATATTTTCTTCTAGGATATTTATGGTTTCATGAGTTATATTTAAGTCTTTACCATTTTCAGTTTATTCTTGTTTATGATGTAAATTGGTGGTCTAGTTTCAATTTTGCATGTCCAATTTTCCTAACACAGTTTATTGAAGAAACTGTCGTACTCCATTATATGCTCTTGCTTCCTTTGTTGAATGTTAATTGTGCATAATAGCTTTGGTCAATTTCTTGTGTTTTGTTCTGTCCCATTGATCTATATGCCTATTCATGTGCCAGTACCAGACAGTTTTAATTACAGTGGCTTTGTAGTATAGTTTAATATCTAGCATTGTTGATGGATTCCAAAATGGTGGCAGAGTGAATGGAAGCTGCACAGACCATCTCCCAAGATGAAACTGGACTTACAACTAAAATGAAGACAACTCATCGGGGAAAACCAAAAGAAAAGCAGCTGGAGAGGATGCGTATAACCAGGGACAGAAAGATGACACTAAATCGAGCCTGGTGGGTACTGTGAAGGCATGAGAGGACAGGCTGAGATCCCACAAATAGCAGCTATTTTGGCTGCAAGCAGCTTCCCTTAGGGTTAAAATCCCAAGCCAGCTCCACAGCACAGAGGGCCGGGACAGAGCACTAAATTAGCTACAGCCACTCACCTTGGGCTTCAGTAGACAGAAGGCAGACTGGACTAAAACTCTGTGGAGAGACTTGGGAGCTTGGACTCTCTGGTCCACAGGCCGATGCTCAACTGCTGAGCCAAACTGGCCAGGGCTGTATATTCTTGATACAAGTCCTTTGTAGGATGTGTAACTCTTAAATATTTTAACCCAGTCTGTAGCTTGTCTTTTCATTTTCTTTACAAATTATTTCATAGAGAAAAAAAATTTAACTTTGATGAGGTCCAATTTGTCAATTTTTCCTTTTATGGATTATGCTTTTGGTGTTAAGTCTAAAAATTCTTCATCTAGTGCTAGGTCCTAAATATTTCTGTTTCTAAGTTTTATAGTTTTACATTTTACTTGTAAGTTTATGATTCATTTTGAGTTAATGTTTTCATAAGATGTGAGATTTAGGTCAAGGTGGGTTTTTTTGGTCTTGTTTGTTTGCCTATGGATGTCCAATTGTTTCAGCACCATTTATTAAAAAAGCTTCCTACATTAAATTACTTTTGCACATTTTTCAAAGATTAGTTAGACATACTTGTATGGGTCCATTTCTGAGTTCTCTTCTCTGCATGCCACTGACCCGTTTCCCTCCACCAGTACCACACTGTCTTGGTTACTGTAGCTCAACAATAAACCTTAACACTTATTGTGAGTGTAGAGTAACTTCTCCCACCCTCTTTTTCTTTCTCACAATTATTTTAGCTATTCTATATCATTTCCATTTCAAATAAATTTTAAAATAAGCTGGTTTATGTATACAAAAATCCTTGCTGAGATTTTGATAGAAATTGTGCTAACCCTATAGATAATTGGGGAGTCCTATTTACTATGTCAAGTTTTCCAATTTACAGTGTATGTCTCTTCATTTTTTTAGATTTCCTTTCATTTTTTTCATCAGCACTTTGTAATTTTCAACATATAGATCCTGTACATGATTTATTAGATTTATACTTAAATACATAATTTTCTTTGGTGTAATTGTAATAGTATTATACATTTAATTTTGTTTTGCATATGTTTATTGTTACCATATGAAAATGTGGTTAAATTTTTGCATGTGGACTTTGTGTCTTGTGACATTGTTAAATTCATTTATTAGTTCAAATAGGTTCACTTTTTAAAGAATTTTCAAATAGACAATTGTGTCATTTGCAAATGAGAACAGTTTTATTTCTTTGCTTCTAATTTATATTTGTTGTATTTTATTTTGTTTTTGCTTTACTGCAAAAACCTAATATTACTAAACCTAATATTACTCTGTTTTTAGTTGATATGTTTTTCTCCATCTTTTTAAAATAAACTTTATATTTTAGAATAG